TTCAATAAAGTTAACAAGACAAGGCTTGTTTATATTTGCGATTATTCATGTTTTATTATTTACAGAATTATGTGATATTTAATTTTAATGAACCAATATTCCATTAGCCCGTTGCTGCACTTTTCATAATACTTGAACAATTTGCTATGAAGCCACGGGGAGTTAACAGGAAGGGCCGAAGAACAGGAAGGTGTGACTCATTCCCAGGGAAAAGCACTCATTGGTAATAGACTAAAGAACGATGGACACCAGAAAGGTGTCACTTCTATCCAGTTTCTTCAACTTCCCTTTTTACTTTTCCTTCCTTTTTAATTTCGAGGAATTCCGCTTTTGCCTGATCAAGGCACGCTAAAATTACCCGTGCACCTGTGGTATGGTATGTGACTGCATCTATTTCATTCTTTTTATGAAACTGCAAACTGCCGTCAAAATGAAACAAATGTACTTTTTGCATTAGGTCTACATGGATATGGCACAGGGGTACACCGTCATAAAGGTATAGCACAGGGTTGCCATGCATGTCCCGGACTCACAGCGGGGGGGAGGGGGAGTAGTGATCAAATCCATTTAGAAGTTGAGCAGCTTTGAAGAACCTGTCATAGTGACGCAATGTCATTGAGTGGCAACTCAGTATTAAATACAGAGCAAACAAATATCGGTTATGACTATCTACGGAAATAACGTCCAGTTATGGGAATATAAAAGGAATTGGTTCGTGGCTACGTCCATTTGCATACTATAGCAAAGCATGAATGTTACTACTGGACGCATGTCAAGATTTCAGACCCCGGCCACTCTACATCACAAAAATGAACCTACCTCTCTTTGCTAGGTCTCTGGCTGTCTCCTTGCCTATGCCTGTGTTTGCTCCAGTGATAAGGACTGTCTTACCATCCAAACGAACTTTACTGTAGCACCATCCTCCCGCAAAGTATCGCCTCAGAAGCCACAAGACAGTAAAAACGACTACAAAAAAATGGAATGTAGAGAAATTGTTCGATTTGGGGTGCATTTTGTAAATTGATATAGCTCTATGGATTTGGAATTACAATAATATCGCAATTTCAACTTTCAAAACTCAAATGCAACCTACCGGGAACTACTGACCAAGCGACAGGAGTAGTGCTCCAGTTGGCAGCTGGATGAGTAGATGTAGTCATAATGCAGTCTACAGCAATAAGCACAGGCCCTACAGCAGAAAAAAAAGGCAAACTGTCTTGAGAGAATCCAAGCTTGTACCAGAAATGCTGTCTCCAGTGAACCCTGGCGAGCTGTGGATCTCTGCACACCTCAAGTGATTGTGTGACTGAATTGTAATGTAGTCTTACAATCAGATCATACATGTATTATTCTTTTTATGGCAGTTCACTGTGCGTTATGTCAAACGAAATTGTAATTTGACCCACACTTTGAGCATGTGATCGAAAGGCCCTTTGGACTTCAGCCTTTAGGAAACACACAGACCTTTATTTGTGCATAGCTATAGTTTCAGCTGCTCGTAATTTTCTAAGGGAACAGCCTAGGAAAATTAAACCAACAGTTCAAAATTATGCGGGTATACCAGGAAAAATATCATTAAGTTCCTCAGTAGATAGCTATTATTCAAAAGCAGCTCCTGAAAAATTCCCAAAAGTCACATTTGTGAGCTGCCTCAGTCTGTACGTCTTTTCAGCTTCTTGATTGTGCTCATATGTGTTTTAGATGGGGGACAACCGGGAGGGGTATATGGTCATCGCTTTGGGTACTGTGTCTCCCCTGCGCTCTCTCCCGTCCCCGAGGTTACATTACTGATGGGTGAGCGTCAGTTTTACTTAACTGTAATTATTTTTAAGCCATTAAAGATTCCAGGGCTGTAGCTGCGTCTACTGTCAACGTCCCCGCGTATTTTCAATGGGCGCAGACGTGACCTACCAATACCGTGAATCGACCTACCTCTAAGGCCTTCAAGAAAAAGAGGAGTATGACCACGGGCTGCACGAAGGAAAGGTTTAAATTCAACCACTGAATACGCAGTTGCGTTGCCATACGACGTATGACGTATCAATTTAGTTGCCAGTCGCGGTCCATGTGAATACTCCTTCCAGAATAATAAGATATGAGACACGAGTTGGGGTCTTGTTCCTTCCCCTTTTTCTATTGAAGCACGTACGTAGAAAGACTCTACCTTTTAAAAAATGCCACAAAAAA